ATACACCCCCCGCCCCACCTGGAAGAGGAAGTTGAGCCGCTGCAGCGCCTCGCGGTCCCGCACCGGCGCCGCCATCGCGTTCCCGATTGGCCGCGCCCCCACCGGCTGGGCGGGACCGACGTTCCTCATTGGCCGGTAGCCTCGTCGGGGAGGGGGCCGGAACCGCCCCGTGCCGCTCTACCAAGTAGGGGCGGGAGGGGGTTACCAGCGCGGGACGCCACTTCCGGCGCTGCGATAAGCCGTCACTTCCGGCGCTGGGCCCGGCGCGGCGGCTGAGCGGCGGTGAGTGGGGGGCGGGGGTAGCCGGGACCCCCGCTCTGGGGACCCTGGCACGGCCCTTCCCTATAGGGTGTCCCCTATAGCGCCCTTCCCATAGGAACCCCGCTATAGGGACCGCGGCACGGCCCCTCCCTGAGGGATGTCCCCTATAGGGACCCCTGTAGCGACCCGGAACAGCTTCCCCTCCCCGACAAGGCCTCTCCTATAGGGTGGGGTGCCCCCTACGCGTCCCCTTTTCCATAGGGAATCCCCTATAGGAAGCCAGGTACTGCTCTTCCCTAAAGGACATCCATTTCAGGGTGCCTTTTCTATAGGGGCACCCCCATAGGGACCCCATCCGTGCGGGGAATCTCTTAGAGAGCCTCTTTCTCTGGTGATTTCTCTCCGGCGACCCCCCCGCCCTGGACGGAGAGTCCCCTGTAGGGTCCTACCCTATAGCGACTGCTCTATAGGGCTCTCCCAGAGCTTCTCCTTTACGGGGAGCTGCCTATAGAGGCTCCTCTGTGGGTCGTTTGTGCTGTAGGTGCATACTCCTCTATAGGGTCTCCCTGTCACCGTGGCAGCCGCTCCTGCCACCAGCAGCGTGTTGTTTTAACTGAATTCACCTGGTTTCCCCCCCCCCAAAAAAAAAGCAGTGGGAAAACGCCTCGGCACCTTGGCATTGCTTCCCACCAAAATGACAGCATTGCTTTGACAGAATTGAGCTGCTTTCACTCCCAAAACTGCTTCAAACCTGCGCCATCGCCTCAGCATTGCTTCCCAGCAAAATGACGGCATCGCTTTGATGGAATTGAGCTGCTTTTGCCCCCAAAACTGCTTCAAACCTGCGCCATCGCCTCAGCATTGCTTCCCAGCAAAATGACGGCATCGCTTTGATGGAATTGAGCTGGTTTCACCCCAAAACTGCTTCGAACCCATGCTATCACCTCCCTCAGCATTGCTTCCCAGCAAAATGACGGCATCGCTTTGATGGAATTGAGCTGCTTTTGCCCCCAAAACTCCTTCAGGCTTGCCCCGGCACCTCAGCGTCGCTTCCTGCCAAAACGACGTCATCGCCTTGGCAGAATTGAGCTGGTTTCACCCCAAAACCACTTCGAACCCTAGCCATCACCTGGGCATCATGTCCTAGTAAACTCATGTCATTGTCTTGACAGATTTGAGCTGTTTTCTTCCCAAAACCTCTTTGAACCCCTGCTGTCACCTTGGGACTGCTTTGCACCAAAATGACATCGTCACCTGGACGGAATTGAGCCATTTTCTCCCCAAAACCGCTTTGAATCCGTGCCATCATCTCAGTATCACTTCAGTTCAAACCCATGTTGTTGTTTTGACCAAATTGAGCTGTTTTCTCCCGAAAAGTGCTTTGAACCCACATCGCTGCACCTCGCCATCACGTTCTTACTGAAACCACCTCATCCTCTTAACGGATTTAAGCTCTTTTGCCCCCAAAAAACTTCTTCAAACCCTCCCCATCCCACTGTCCCTTCCCAAAACCTCTTTGTCTGAGCCCAGCCTTCCCCCCAGATTTTGGCAGCGGTGGGGGGCCACAGCAGTGTCACCATGTCGGGTGCCGACCCCCTGGAGACGCTGCAGGTGGAAGCAAGCTGTTCGGTTTGCCTGGAATACCTACAAGATCCTGTCATCATCGAATGCGGTCACAATTTCTGCCGTCGCTGCATCACTCGCTGGTGGGCCGAGCTGGCGCGGGATTTCCCCTGCCCCGTCTGCCGTAAAACCTCTCGTCATCGCGCCCTTCGACCCAACCGGCAACTCGGCAACATGGTAGAAGCCGCCCGGCAGCTTCGCGGTGCCAAACGGAAAGCCAGGGAGGAGAGTCGCTGTCAAGCTCATGGCCAAGCTTTGGCTCGATTCTGTCGCGATGATCAAGCCCCCGTTTGCCTGCTCTGCGAGATCTCCCATGCCCATCGTGCCCACGCCCTTGTCCCTCTCGATGATGCAGCTCTTGAGTATAAGGTGGGGGGACAGGGGGGAGACTGAAACCTTCGTGGGGTGAAGATGGGGAGTGTCCCCAAGTCTTGGTTTCCGACCCAAATTCGGCCTCGGGGCTGTTTGTGGAGGGGTTTCAGCTGTGATTAGTCTCCATCTCCATTTTCAGCCCCAAATTCTTCCCTGAGACCATCTGTGGGAGGGGTTTTGGCTGTGGCTCGTCTCTATCTCCAGCCCGGGGGTGGATTTAGCCCCAGACTCTCTCCCTGAGGGTGATTGTGGAGGGGATTTGGCTGACATCTTGTCCCTATCTCTGTTTTTAGCTCCAAACCCTTTCCCCGAGGCAGTTTGTGGAGGGAATTTGGTCCTGGCTTGTCCCCATCTCCTTTTCCAGCCCCTGAAGAGGGGATTCAGCCCCAAACCCTCTCCCCGAGGCTGTTTGCAGAGGAGTTTGAGCAGCAACTCATCCCCATCTCTGTTTTCAGCCCCCCAGTTCTTCCTCAAGACCATCCAGGGAGGGTTTTTGGCCATGGCTCCTCCCCGTTCCCAACCCCTGGTGATGGGATTTAGCCCCAAACCCTCTCCCCAAGGCTGTTTGCAGGGGGGATTTCTCTGTGGCTCATCCCATTCTCCGTTTTCAGCCCCAAAACCTTTCCCTGAAGCCATTTACAGAGGAATTTGTGCAGCAGCTCTTCCCTGTCTCCATTTTCAGCCCCAAATTCTTCCCCCAGACCATCCAGGGATGGAACTGGGCCCTGGCTCATCCCCATCCTCATCTCCAGCCTCTCGCAGTGGGGCTCAGCCCCAGCAGAGGAAGTGATTCGGGGCCGGAGGAAGGATTCTAGGCAGGGGGGTCCCATCCCATTGCCCACCCTCTTCTCTCCCCACCCGGGCAGGAGAAGCTGCAGCGTTGCCTGGAGCCGCTGGAGCGGAAGCTGGAGGCAGTCGCCGGCTGCCGAGCACGGGAGGAGAAGAAACCAAGCGAGCTGAAGGCAGGTTGATGGTTCTGGGGGATGCCAGGGAGATCCCAGCAACTCCCGGCCCTCACCAGTGTCTTTTCCTACCCCATCCCATCCCGGCAGAGGAAGGTGGCTCTGCGGCGGGAACGCATCACCCAGGAGTTCGAGGAGCTTCATCAGCTGCTGGAGGAGGAGGAGCGGCTGCTGCTGCGGCGGCTGGAGGAGGAAGAGCGTGAAATCCTGCAGCGGCTTCAGGCCAACCTGGCTCGGCTCAGTGAGCAGCGCCGGGTCCTGGCTGCCCTCGTGGCTGAGCTGGAGGAGAAATGTCTGCAGTCGGGTGCCGAGATGCTCAAGGTAGGGCGGGATTGGGATCAGCAGCAGGTGGATCACTACCGGTGATGGGATCAGCGGCAGGGATGGGATGGCCTGGAACGGGCTTGTCGCTGGGGATGGCATCCCTGGGGATGGGATTGGGTTTGGAGAAGGGATCAGCCCTGGGAATAGGATCAGTTTTGGGGACGGGATCACCCCGGGTGACAGGGCTGGTTTGGGGGACAGGATCCCCGGGGATGGGATTGGTTTTGGGGATGGGATCAGCAGGTATGGGATTGATTTTGGAGACAGGATTGCTGCTGGGGGCAGGATCGATTCTGGGGACAAGATCAACCACAGGGATGGGACTGGTATTGGGAATGGGATTGCCAGGGATTGCTTTTGGGGATGGCATTGGTTCTGGGGACAGGATCCCCAGGAATGGGATTGGTGTTGGGGACAGGGTCACTGCAGACAGGATTGGGTTTGGCGACGGGATCACCAGGGACAGGTTTGATTCTTGGGGGCAGGATCATCAGAAAAGGGATTGGTTTTAGGGATGGGATCATGCCCAGAGATAGGATTACTTTTGGGGGCAGGATCCCTGGGGAGGGAATCCGTGTTGGGGATTGGATCTGGGCTGGGATCACCGCCGGGGGCCGGGATTGGTGCTGGCAACTGCAATCAGGGCTGGGATCCCCATGGTTGGGACCAATCCTGCCCTGGAGATTGACTTTGAGGGGGGATCTAGCACACCTAACCCCCCTTTTTTCCTCCTTTCCCCCCATTTTCCTGCTTCCCCCCCATTTCAGGACATCAAGGACACCCTGGCCAGGTAAGAACTGTGCAGGTGATCTGGGCCGCTCTCTGGGCTCCATTCTGGGGCAGAAAAGCGGGATTTGGGGGTGCATCAGCCGGTGTGTCCCACCTCCCCCGGGGCTGCTGGCAGGTGCGAGGCGGCGGCGGCACCGGTAGAAGAACCAGTTTCCGTCCCCATTGAGCTGGAGAAAAATTTCTGCAGTTTCCCCCGGCAATACTTCACCCTCCGGAAAATCACCCGGCGCCTCATCGGTGAGGAAACCTCCCATCGTGCCGCAGCCGGGATCCCCCCACTTCACCGTGCTCTCCACCCCCTAAATCCCACCCCCGTCTTGGTGTTGCCATCCAGGAGAGGTGACGCTGGATCCCGACACGGCACATCCCAACCTGGTTTTATCAGAAGATCGGAAAAGCGTTCGTTTTGTGGAAGTTCGACCCCGGGATTTACCTGATACCCCGCGGCGTTTCACCATCTACCCCTGCGTTTTGGCGGCGCAAGGTTTTACCTCTGGTCGTCATTACTGGGAGGTAGAAGTTGGCGATAAAACCCATTGGGCTCTCGGCGTTTGTAAGGATTCGGTGAGTCGGAAAGGGGAATTAACACCGTTACCGGAGACGGGATATTGGCGGGTACGGCTCTGGAACGGCGATAAGTATGCGGCTACCACCACCCCCTTCACCCCACTGACGGTGCGGGTGAAACCCAAGCGGGTGGGCGTCTTCGTGGACTATGAAGCTGGAAAAGTGGCTTTTTATAATGTCACTGATCGCTCCCACATTTACACTTTCACCGATACTTTCACCGAAAAGATTTGGCCGCTGTTTTATCCCGGGATCCGTGCTGGCAGGAAAAATGCGGCACCTCTTGTTATCCGTTCACCTACGGATTGGGAGTGAGGGGGAGAGCGGCGCCGGCGGGGTTTGGCTTGATGGTGTCTGGCAGCGCTGGGATCCGGTACTCTGGCACTGCCGGGTTTTCGTGCTCTGATGTGCTGCCAGGATCCAGCACTCCAGCATAGACAAGGTTTGGCTGTCCAATATCCAGCACTGCAGGGGTTTGGCTCTCCGATGCCTGGCACCACCGGGATCCGGTGCTTCAGCACCGCCAGGGTTTGGCTCTCTGACATCTGGCACCACTGGGATGCGGTGATCCAGCACTACTGGGATTTGGCTTTCCGACATCCAGCACTACCAGGGTCTGGCAGTCTGGCACCACTGGGAATTGGCTCTTGGACATCGAGCACCGCCAGGATCCAGTGCTCCGGCACCACCGGGCTCTTGCTCTTTGCCATCGAGCTCCATGGCACCGCAGCGGCCCAGCTCACTGGCATCATTGGGGGGGTCTGGATTGCCGGCACCGGCCGGATCTGGTTCTGCGGCACCACTGGAGGCGTGTGCAGTAGTAGGTGCAGGCGTGTGGCAGGGCTATGTCCCCTCTGTGTCCCTCTGTCTGTGTGTCCCTGGCCCCGTGTACGTCCTGGGGTCCGTGTCGCTCCACGTGTCCCCATGTCAGTCCATGGCTCTCCACCTGTCCATATGTCCATCTCTGTCCCTGTGTCCATCTGTGTACCTCCACGTCCCCATGTCTGTGCCCCTCTGTGTCTCCCCATGTCTATCTGTGTCCCTCTGTCCCTCCACGTGTCCCTCCACATCCCCATATTTGTCCTTCTGTGTGTCCCCACGTCCCTCCATGTCCGTCTGTGTCCCCATATCTGTCTGTCCCTCCATGTCCCTCTGTGTGCCCAGGTCCATCGTGTCCCCCCCTGTCCCCACACCATACATATCCCTGTGTCCCTCTATGTGTCCCTGTCATCCATATTCCACGTCCGTCCCTCTGTGTCCCCCTCCATGTCCATCAGTGTCCCTCTGTCCATCTATGTCCCTCCATGTCCTCACATCCCTCCATGTCCCTCCACAACCCCATACTTGTCCCTCTGTGTGTCCCCATATCAATCCATGTCCCTCTGTCTGTGTGTCCCCCAGGTCCATTGTGTCCCCACACCATCCACATCCCTGTGTCCCTCCGTGTGTCCCCATGTCCTTCCCTGTCTCCACATCATCCATGTGTGTGCATCCCCATGTCCATCCATGTCCCATGTCTGTCCCTCTGTGTCCCCCTCCATGTCCGTCAGTGTCCATGTCCCTCCATGTCCCCACATCTGTGCCCCTCTGTGTGTCCCCACATCCCTCCACATCCCCATATTTGTCCCTCTGTGTGTCCTCAGGTCCATCCATGTCCCCACATCCCTCTGTGTCCCCACACCATCCACATCCCGTGTCCCTCTGTGTGTCTCCTTGTCCTTCCCTGTCTCCCCATCATCCATGTCCATCCACGTCCCTTGCTGTCCCCCACGGCCACCCGTGTCCCCACGTCCTCCACGTCCCCATCTCCCTCCCCACCCCTGTTATTCCCATCTCCCTCCCCACATCCCCGCCCCGCTGTCGCCCACGCCTGGGCCGTCCCACACGCCTCTCGCACGCCTCTCACACGCCTCGCACACGCCTCCCACATGCCATGGCGCCCTCGGGGCCACCGGAACGGGGCCCGCTGGCCCGACTGGCGCGAGAAACCTCATGCCCGACCTGCGGGCAACCGCTACGGGACCCCGTCCTTTTTGCCTGTAACCATAGCTGCTGCCGTCGCTGCCTGCCCGTTGCCTGTCCTGGGGAACCCGTCGCCACCTTCTCCTGCCCGCGGTGCTGCCTGCCCTGCTCCCCTCGCCGTCTCCGTACCCCCGTGGCTTTGGCTGTGGAGAGTCGCATCGCCCAACGTTTGGTTCGGGGAAATCCCGGCCCCCCTCGCCGGCCACAGCGCTGCAGGTAAAGGGAGAAGGAAGCCAGCGGGGTGTGTGGGGGGACCCAGGTATTTGGAGGGGCTTTGGGGAGACCCAGGGGGACTTGGGGGACCCAAGCATCCAGGGACGACTTGGAGGACCCAGGTGTTTGGGGGGCAAATTGGGCAGATTTGGGGAGACCCA